TTAAAGGGATTAAAAAATAGTTGGTACTTTAAAAGTACAGAGCAACTGTAAGGAAAGGTTCACAATATTTAAGCAAAATTTGCTATGCTTGTATACCGCTGACTTCAGGGTCATAGCTGGATAATTTATTAGAAATCTCGTTTGTTTAAAATGCACTATGGGCAGTTATATTTTATACATAATCCATAAAATATTATTTTTAATTTAAACATTTTTAATTCATATCTCTTTTTATACAAGAAGTTATAAAATAAGATTTTTCTCTTTATATATACACACATTAGGTAAAGAAATGGAAATATTTAATTATTAATTCCTGCGCTTCTGCAGGAGAGGACTGAATTTAAAAGCAATATTATATAGTAATTTTTTGTTTAAAAAAATGTTTAGGGCATTAATACTGTCTCATGTTAATTGGAATGAAAGTTTAGAGTCCGTAAACATCCCAAAGTCTGAGCACATGTATATACATTCACATAAAGTGAAACGAAAATATATATATATATATATATATGCAGGGTTTCAAAATAAATTAAATTTAAATAATTCTCTTGCGCCATTGCTGCAAGGAATGAAATTTGAATTTAAACAAACATTTTCTATTCGTAAAAATTAAAAGTTAATTAAATTTAAATGAAATTTAATGCAAACAAATAAAGGATTAATTATTGCTGCGAACTAATATACAATATCATTTAAATTCTGAGAGCATATGTAAATCAAGTGCAAGTATCAAAATCCATGAATAAATATATAATTCCAAAAATTTATTTATCCTATTATTCAGTTATGCATTTTTATAAATTTTTTAGGATTAAATGTATCCTATTATTCATTTATGCATTTTTATAATTTTTTTAGGATTAATAATCTATCCTATTATTCACTTATGCATTTTTATAATTTTTTAGGATTAATAATCTATCCCATTATTCACTTATTGCATTTTTATAAATTTTTTAAGGATTAATAAATTTTTGGAATTATATATTTATTCATGGATTTTGATACTTGCACAGCAATAATTAATCATTTCTTTGTTTGCATTAAATTTCATTTAAATTTAATTAACTTTAAATTTGCTTTTTACGAATAGAGAATGTTTGTTAAATTCAAATATATATGTACAGGATATGCTTTAAATTTGTATTAGTATATATAATTTTCAAACTTTTTGCGGGGGAAAAATTTAAATAAATAAGAGCATAAATAAAACAATATATTTAATGCATATAATAATAGAAATAATTAATAAAACACGAATATAGATCAAATTGAATAAAAAGGTAAGAAAGTTGCAGACATGGTGCAAAAAGCGTATGGGATTCGAACTCACGACTCCAAAAAGGGGACATCGTTACCATCAGCTTTACCACTAAGCTAGGATTACACGTAAGTCGCATGCATATTTTGGGTTTATACATCATCAAGTAAATCAATTCTTAAAACTTAAGTTTTTGGTCCTATTTCACTTTGCTATTGTCTGAAAAAATTCACCAGAGTTTGTTCTTCAGGTTCTAGTACATTTTTTGGAAAAATCATTATCTTTTAAAGTGGCGTTCCGATTGAAGTTAAACGGGACTGCTAAAAATATATTTCATGTGCTTACAAATATATGTTATCCAAAAATATATATTTATAAAGGGAAATACAAATTTAACATACTCTTCAATGAACTGGAGTATTTAAAAGGCTATCAAATTTAATTTATAATTAACGTTTTTAGTTTTTACCTGTTTCAGAAGAAAAAAATAGCAAATCTTTTAATCATATTTAATTTGCTATAGCAGTTTGATATAGTCAGACATTCATTTTCATTAAAGCTAAATGAGTATGCAGAACTTAAAAATGATTATCAGAACGAATTTTGCTATTTCATGGACTTGGAATGATAATTTTTGCCGCTGATTTTCTTGAATGAACAAGTAGTACTGTAGTTGCAGTTATCTTGTTTTTTTCTTATCATTTTAAACTAAATTCAGCTGATTGCTGTCATTTTCAGCACGCAGATTTCTCGCTATAATGTTAATTCAGAAATAAGTATTTTTTAGCAAAACATTCTTTCCCTATTAGCGAGTGTTCATCGCTACTTCTGCCGCCATTAATTTTTAGTCACTGCACCTGATTGCTCCTTTTTCACCACGTGACCCCAACGCAACCGCAGACATACGGATAGAAGTTGAACATTGTTGAGTCATCCGTCACCGCACACCGACCGGATTGCAGATGTCAATCAAAGTGAATTCGCTCGCTGATTGGAGAAACGCATACGCACCGCAACGCATACGCAGTAGTGGAAACGGGCCTTTACTCATTTGTTCTTATATCACTTTCTAATCGGTCACATTGTTTTTATCAAAACTAAAAGAAATTTAAGAAGTTACTTTATAGATTTTTTTCTATTTGTCAAAACATATCACTGTGTATCTATGCTGATTGTCCTCTACCATAGGATTTATGTGTGTGTTATGACTTTAACACTATTGTTTTCCATACATGGACAGATCAATTTTTATTTATGATGCCCGCTTCTTTTGTTCCATTTGATTTATCTTTTCACATTCTGTTAAATTTGATTTGTTTTAGACATTTCATACTGTTGCAATCCTTACTTTATACTTTCTTCCACACTTGATCTTTGACTGACGACGGAATTGTGGACCCAATTGATATAAAAAACAAAATGAAATTTCCAAAAAACATTTTTTTGTTTTGTTTTTCGTTAATACGGTTTTTAAAATATCATTAATTCTGATAAACGAGTTTAATTTTTGATAGTGAACAGAAATCTTTACGAATTTTTTCATGCTAATAAATACATAAAATTTTTAATAAATCGGAAAGCTTTCAGTTGTATATTCCGTCCAAAGGGGCGGGTTTTTAACGTTTTTTGTGTTGCCTTTATAGCGACGTTTAAGTTTTTATGGAAGCAGGAGATGGGAAAAGTGAGCGACGCCTTCGCCGGGAATCGAACCACGAATCTCTGGAATACGCGCCTAGCGTGCTGACGACTGCACTACAAAGGCATGCTAAGAAGGCGGGAGAAATACCTTATACCTTTTATTTATTAAATATCATATTCTTCGCACTTACACCATAAAATTCAATTCAACAGAAATATCACCCCCCAAAAAAATTATAATAAATAAATAAAAATAAAAAAAATAATAAAAACCTCGCTCATAAGCTGTTTTTTATAATGCGAGAAACATACAAACATTCATGCAAATGATTCTTCATTATTTTATTTCTTTAAACATAATGCAGCGCTGTAGTATTTGGTGGCAACAATTTGAAAAGTAATTCAGACTTCTATAGTGAACCAACGCAAAATGCCAAAACGAAATTAATAGCCCTTCTGGGCAAATTGTCCTTTTGGGCTAAAGAATGTTTTGCTCGCAAGTGAAGTATTGACTTGCGAAGCACATTTTACATTCTTTGTTGATATGTGCAAGAGCTTTTGACCACTCATTTAAGCCCTCACAGAAAGCTTGTTTATGTGTATGCTTGCCTCTTGGTATAAGAGATTGCTCGATCGGTTTACGCTAATACACACACACACACACACTTCTGATATTAAAATAATGAGGAATTATGATATTAAAATAATCTGATATTAAAATAATCTTGCACGGCGGGAAATCGAGGCACCAGTGGCCGCTAGATTTTTAATACAAATAGATCCTTCACACGAAACCAAATTGAATTTCGAATTTTTTTATTTACTATAAATTTTGTGCGAGCGTAGTAAGCTGTGATTAACAAGCTTCGCGATTTAAAAGACATGAACTGCCGCTAAGCTAAATGTATCTTGTTTCGCATTTAATCAGAAAACTCAGGGATTTATGTGTTCTTCCTTTGGCAAAGCGTAAGACATTTATTTACCAAATTTAATCAACGAACTTAGTGATTTAAAAAAAGTTGTTGCCATCGCCGGAAATTAAATACTTTTATTTTCTATCCGTCAGAGTATTGCCATGCAGGGAATTGTAAGATATTTATTTACTTATTCCATATTTCATTTAGCTGTTATTGATTAACAAACTATTCTTCATGTCTATTATTAATTTTTCTAGCTGAATCCATGAAGTTACACTAGCTAGACTTATTTAAATCATTCTATATATTTTTCTTTTTTAAAATGACTAATTTGAACCAAAAAGAGTATGTCTTCTTTGCCTCAGCTAAGGTAAATTGGAGATAAAGAAGAAAAATTCTATATCTCTAGTGTGAGTGTCTGAAGTAATTTAATATCTTGGCATCAATATGAAGCATTTTTTTTTTTTATACTTGCATTATTGTAAAAAAATTACTTTATATATGTGTTTGAACTTTTTGCAAACGATTCCTAGAAAATTTTCTTCTCGAATGCAAGAATGTAAGTTAAATATATGTAACGAATAAGATTCAAATGAAAACATGTGGGGAAAAGTGCATTCATCTTGCACCGATCATTAAATAAAGTACAAATTATTTACGATATGTCTGCTAGCACCTGTTGCTGAAGAGCAAAGATAATAAATATGATGTGATGTTTTATGTCAACGTACATGACATAAAAGATCGCTTCCATCAAAGTTATTATTTTTTACTTTTTTTTGGCAACCCAAATTTTTACCTAGGAAAATTTCTCACCTGGTCATCGCGTTCTAATTGGTTTTGCCTTTCCCAAACAAGCCCCGGCCACGTTGTAGCCGAAGCAACATTTGCACCAACCTACCTACCTACCTACCTACACATCAACGCGTTTGCGCATGCTTGCTTGCGTGCGCGTGGTTCTTTTCACCCCCCCCCTCGTTTTCTTCCCCGCGATACCTGTTAGCCGAGCTGATGTCGACCGGACTGTTTACTTCCACTGTTGATCTCCATCGGGGTGGGCAGGCAGAAGTGATAGCGCGCGAATGCCGCTTTGGCGATTTTTGAAAAGTTTTCTTTAACACATTGTAATAATAACACATGTCGGATAAACTCTCATTACTTCTTGCTTCGTTGCATTGCAGAGGGAGACTGTACGAGCTGTTCAGCCAAATCGAGAAGGAATTCGAAGCGCTGTACACGGAAAACATAGCACGTAAGTATTCTCACGTGTTTCTCTTTTGTTGATGTGAATTGTTTACAGTTCGCTGATTTCGTACGCATTTGTTTATGTTTGTTGCTGTTGCCATTGCGAACGTTACTTTGAATTGTCATGCTCTCTGTCTTGCACAGAACAATGCCATAGCCGCAGCTTTTCTCGCCCCCAAGCGATTCTTAAGTTTGCCGCCCCGGCGCCCCCTAAATTTAACTCTCCTCTCGATACACTAGCAAATAGCTCAAAAATATCAAACTGGCATATAAGGAAATAATTTAAAACATTGTGTGCTTGTTTTTGAAGTAAAATTTTAATTTCAACATAATTCGGGGGGGGTGCAAAAATCACGGATGTTTACTGTAGAGATCTACGTCATCGCTGCAGTTTGGAGTTACGCAGACGTACAGGAAAATTTCTCAAAAGCAAAAGGTCTTAAATGATTTTTTTTTTTTTTTTTTTTTTTTTTTAATGTAAAAAAAACTTTTCTCGCAGTTAACAACATGGCTGTAGTGTAGAATTGGGTGCCCCTTCGATTAGCGACAATTTTTTGTAAAATTTTAGCGATGAAATCGAATTTCTGATTACCATAACAGTGTAACTTTGCTTTAGCCTCCTGATTTTTTTAAAATAAAAATAGATTCATGTGTACATGGACAAATTTAAACAGTGCGCAATGCCTAGTTTGTGCAATTCTGAGATGTTTTTTTTAAGTGAAAACAGATCGATGTGTACATGGACAGGGTTCGTACGGTCCTTAAGAGTCGTTAAAAGTCCTTAGATTTCTTGGAATGGAATCGATTTTTGGTCCTTAAAAGTCCTTAATTTTGGCCAAAATCAACAGAAGGTTCTTAATTTTAATCATCTGAAATTTCTGTCTGTTTTTAAAGACTGTCATTTTGAGTGCGAATTAGCATTTGAGGAATATTTTTTTGGTGTTCACTGCCCCCCCCCCCCCCGTTAATATGGTACCTTCATTTTTTCAGGAGTTATAATTTTTCTTTTTTGGGTTCATGAAATATAATTTTGTTTCTATTTCTAATATAAATAATGGGATACTCGAGTTTTCTAAGCAAGAAGTGAAACAGGTACTTACGTATTATCGCAACCAGGTTGGCGCGATTTGGTTTTTGAGTAAAAAAGTATGAATAGAAAGAAAATGTACATTTATTAATTACAGATAATTTTTAATACAGTTTTTTATATTATTTTGTTTTAAAATAAAATAGCAATTAAACCCTTCCGGTTTCGAATTTGAATAAGTTGATTGAATGATTGCAGAATTATTTTTTCGGCGGAAATCTTTTGGCTATTGCTTTTAGCACTGATTGAAACCGCTGTCACAAATGAAATTCGGCTACCTTCAAACCAATTTCTGGTCCTCACACCCAAATGTTGATTGCACTCTTCGACGTTACATTTCCAGAAGATTTGCTTTCCAAAATACAGTTTCATTTTATGAGAATTTTTACAAGTACGTTCGTTCGGTAGGTCGCCAAATTTGGCGATTTATGCGAATTTGGGCCTGGTTCCGTTAATACGTAAGTACCGTGAAACAAAAGCATTTCGAAATTCGTTTTTTCTAGTAAAGAGCTCTTAAACAACTTTTTGCTTTTGGGGTAAAATTAATTTTATAGAGAAAACTAATGCACATTTTGGCGATTTTAAGATTAGTTTCTATAGAAACTTTTTAATTCCAAAACTGAGTATTTTTCGACGATTTTTTTAAAACATCGTAACATTGATAAATTTCTTAAAAATGGTAATAATGAAATTGTATTTAAAAAAAACATTAAAATAAAACATTTTTATTTTTTTCACTGTCATATTATAAAATTCATTTTGGCAACTTATACAAATATTTAAATCTGAAAAATAAACAAGGTATAATACTATAAAGCACAATTACGAACAGCTCTTAGCAAAGCAAAATTAGCTATGTAATTAATTAAAAATGTCTTGTTTTTAATTTTTCATAGTAAGAGTTTTTCCCATGCACTGTCTCAGATGTGCATCAGTTTCTCTATAAATTAATTTTATTACTTTATCCCTCCTACTTTTTTCCAAATATATCTGCCTTACTGTTACAGAAATGGTTGGGATAATTTTTTCTTAGGATTTAGACATTGCAGCTTGGAAAGTTTAGAAGGATTTGAAGGCAAGATTTATAGACGCACGATTCTAGAGATTCCAGAAATATGTGACAAAATAAAAAATTCTCCATGGTGGTCAACACGTAATGGATGTATTTTTACAGAAAGTTTACAATGAATTTCTTCATTTTGGGAGAACATCTGGAAGAACAATGGAAACATAATATTTGATGTATATACTTCTGATACTAGAATCTTAACATTTTTATCTTCTCTTTATTTTTCTCTACTTTCACTAGACAGAAGCATGGAATATCAAAAATGCTTCTGATCTTATCAATGGGCAGCATTAAGAAAGGGATTTTTGATTATTAAAGAAACTGAAACTTACAATTAAAAGATTCATCTAATATTCTTAACATCATACACATAGCTGGCACTAGCATTTCCCACTGATGCAAATCTCTGTGGATCCTAAGTTCTGTTTGCCTACTGCTTTCTAAATTCCTGCTTCCAATGCTTGCTCTAAATTCTAAAAGTTTTGCCATTTCTAATTTTGTGGTTCGGTGTGTCTTAAATTCTAGAAATTCTCCACATCAGCTCTGTAACCGTCCTTTACTATATATATTTCATATTGCCTTCTGAATTTCATATTACTAAAGAAATAAAATTAGCTGCTTTTTCTGTACATTCTAAAATGCATTTAGTTTTTTTTTTTTTAGAATAAACGAAATCCTTAATTAAATCCAAAATTCTAAAATGGAAAGGAAACGTGTTAAAGAAAAACTGACTAAAGCAAAAATTATTCTTTAAAGATATGTGCAGCTATTATTATGTAATTACCCACTGTTTATGATTTCAACCTTACTATATTTCCCATTTCTATTTCCTCATACATAGAGTTATTGAACCAGATTAAATTAAATTAAATTGTAAAATCTTTGACAACTAGTCCACATTATTAGTTTGAATTGACTGTTCTTGTTTAATTACGCCATGAGCTGTAACTGATTTTGTTAGCATCAGAACATGCCTTATGTTCTAAGTTCTTTTAAAAGAGGCTTTTAAAACCTTTGTCTGAATTGTAGTTACTTTCACACATAGCGATAATATGCTTCACGTCCCTGTCGGGGTTTAACTATTTAACTTTTACCAGATTAATTAAACCCTCATATAGATACATTATGGAGAGGTTGACAAGTTAGGAAGCACGCAGAACTAGTGAGAGCATTGGTTTGCATATTGATACAAAACTCTAATTGTTAGAAACATGCTTAAAAGAGAATGAAATTGAATAAAACGTTCAAATATGGCCAAATATCATTAAGTGTAAAATATTTAATGCTACTTGAGAAATTGCATAGTTATTTTGTTCTCAAACTTAAACAATTGTAATTAATTCGTGTTAGTATAATGCATACTTACTTAGGGCTCTATTTTATTTTTAGGATGGTACAAAAAGTGAGGAATTGGCATAATAATATCTTCAATTATTTTATTCAGTTCCTTTTCTTTAGGTCCTTTTTTTATTAAGGTCCTTAAAAGTACGTAATTCCATGTGCAAAGTGTCGAACCCTGATGGAAGGTTATGCAATCTTTGACTTTTTATTGGTTTTGTGTAGCGCCATTGAAATTGTGTCTCCTGGCGCCGATCTTGGCATCAAAAGAATCAAAAACAAGGGGCACCCAATTGTAAACTTCTACCACCAACACATACAGCAGTTACGAGGAACGTTTACAATGTTGTATTTTAGAATAAACTGCAAAAGTTTTTTAAAAGTCCTATTTGAAACTTCCCTTTGCTGTAATTATTCACTTAAGATCTACAGTTAAAAGGAATCTAAACTTCAGTTTCGAGCTAATGTTTCAAGTTAAGTAAGTATATTACAGAAGAAAATTGCGATGATGCTTTGAAACGTGGGTAAAATTGTATTAAATACAATTGAATCAATGAGCAAAAATACAAGAGTTGAGCTTGCTTCCCACTCTTTCGTTTGATGAATTAAAACAAAAGTGCTAAATTTTAGCTATTATTATATTCGGATATCCAGTTGTTAGCTTGAGGCGATTGGCAGAAACTGCAGCTGGTTAAATTTGTAGAGATATTAGGTTATTTCAAAGCAGGAGAGATGAAAAATGAGCAATGCTTTCGCTGGAACTCGAACCACGGACCTTTCGAATACACGCCGAGCGTGCTGACTACTATACGACGAAGGCATGTTATGAAAGTGGGAGACATATCTTATGTACTTTCTCTTTTAAAGGCCGACTGGGGACTAGGGGATCGAATCGCCAAATCCTGGTGGTGGTGAATCATCATCCACTACCTTTTATAGTTCGGCGCCTCTGTAGAGAAATTAGGTTATTTCGAAGCAGGAGAGGTGAAAAATGAGCAATGCCTTCGCCGGAACTCGAACCACGGACCTCTCGAATACGCGTCGAGCATGCTGACCACTACACCACGAAGGCATGTTAAAAAGGCGGGAGAAATACCATATAAATTCTTGTTGGTAATTGTGACCCTGTCAAACTCAGTTACAGACATGAAAATAATATCGGGCCCACCAACAGCTACCGCGAGCGGTAAAGTTGTTCAACACTGGTAATTCGGTCCGGGGTTCGAATCCCGGCAAAGGGGGCTAGCTACATGGGCGTTTTCGTGGTTTGCTCCATGTGTAACGTGTATACTAGCCAGTTTTCCGTAGAAATTCCTCCGCGAAGGCATCCCTTCTCTTGGGCAGATAGCCCTCGAGTGCTTTGCCATAATCAAATAAACCAAACCAATGAAAGTGATATCTTTCTGTACGAATGAAAAGGCCGCTTTCTTTCAAACTGTGCTCCAAACTAGCGCTTGCGTGGTCAGCCGCTTAAAACAATTACTATAAGAAAGGAAAAATAGCTAATGATACA